AACCAAAGCGGTTTTTACCCCAGAATGTACCGTACGAGCAGTCCCGGGGCCAAGTGCCCGGCCCCCGGGGACTGAGGTCCGGTCACGTCAACTTGACCTCGACTCGCCGTGACGCCGCCCTCGGCGGGCCAGGCCGATGTTGCAGCTGAGCCTCCCGGGTCGGAGAAGAACTCGGACCGTCCGGGGATTCGCAACACCGCGCTGGACTCCGGATAAGGCAGTCACGCCGGCGCCGTGGCGGCGCGGCGGCCTCGTATGCGCAGCCGCGCACACTATAGTACTGAGCCTCAGGCTCCCGGAGTCCGGCAAGTTGGATGATTGCTGGCAATAGACTCTGCACTGAGCCAACGCGTGAATCCGCGTAGATAAGGCAGTGAGGGGCAACCGTGCCCGGCCACTTTGGCAGCCCGGCCCGTCCGACGGTCACGGCGGCGTGTCACAGTGTGGGCCCGGCCGCCGCTGCGGCGGCTCAGCTGGTCACGAGTCATGATTTCACATCGGGCAGCACCGTGGCATACCAACCAGTTAATTTTTTTGAAACCAAAAGGGAGGGGGTGGGGTAGTAGGCCGTTGGAACTTCGGAAACTTTCAGGAGGGAGGGAGGGAGGGAGGGAGGGAGGGAGGGAGGGAGGGAGGGAGGAGGGAGGAGGGAGGAGGGAGGGAGGAGGGAAAGACTGTTCAATGTTGGCTTTCCCTCATCTAATTTTGATTGGTCAGCAAGATGAGCAAGAAACGACCGCCAGAAGCTTCTCCTCCATCGTCTGGCATTGGCCTTTTTCTCGCTGCGGGCGAGGATGTGAATGGAAGGAAACGAGGAGTTGTGGTCACAGGACTACTGCAAGGGGGACCAGCAGAAGTCTGTGGAAAGATTCGTACTGGAGACCGCTTGTTGGCGGTGGAAGAGGAGCGGGTGGAGGATAAGCCGCCGCATGAGGTAATCTCGCTGATTACCCACCCTGAGCGATGCAGGCAAAGGAGGAAAGTTTCATCCTCTTCCTCTTTTGTGCCCCAGTCACTCTGGTTGACGTTCGAGAGGCTTGAAGACTTGCCAAAGGTTTTGCCGTATGAAGTTCAAAGAATGCCGGAGGCTATGAGGAGGAGGAGGAGGAGGAGGAGGAGGAGGAGGTGGTGGTGGTGGTGGTGGTGGTGTTCTTTCAGGTCTAATAGAGGTCTATTGCAAGTTTCAACTGCTTCAGTGCCAGGCCCCGGGGGTCTGAGGCTCGATGAGGCCCGGGAGGAGGTACTCACTGAGAGACTCGGCGATCTGAGCCCCGACGTTCCTCAGGCTCGCCTCGTTGAAGTGAAGCGACTGAGCCCCCCCCACCTCGGAGCCCAGGAAGCTCGCCTCGCACGTGTAGCTGTCGATGCAGCCGAGCTCGTTGTAGACCACCGCCCTCCCCGTGTTGACCTGCCGCGTGTGAGCTGAGAGGTGAAGGGAGACAGTCAGGAATGAGGGGAGGCAGAGGAAGCAGAAGAGAGGAGGCGGGGAGGCAGGAGGAACCTTTGACTTGCCGATCTTGTAGGTAGTGTTGCCCAGTGAGTAGAAGGCGCTTCTCCTCGACATGGCCCACGGCAGCCCGCTGACCGAGTCCTCGCAGCTGCCTCATGTCAGTCTGCAGGTTCGAGAGAAGGAAGCAGAAAAGGGGGCGAGGAGGAGGAGGAGGAGGAGAAGGAGGAGGAGGAGGAGGTGGAGGTGGAATACCAGTAGAGGAAGAATCCCTTCTTGCAGCTGTGCCCGTGAATGTCGAGGAAGAGGACGAGTCGGTTTGCCATGGCAAGTTCCTTACAGAGTCTCTTGACACTGGAGATCTCAGGGTGCAGCTGGGCGTCTGCTCGCTGCCTTCAGCTCGTCCCCTCCTCCTCATCCTCACCTGGTTCGATCCACTGCCGGTTGAGATCATGCCCGCTGAGGCTGCAGCGATAGTTGCCGAGGATGACGCCGTCCGGATTGAGCATGGGGACAACGAAGAAAGAAAACGCGCGGCGAAGCTCCTGGGACAGGGAGTGAAGAGAGAGACGAAGAAAGGAGGGGAGGGGAGGAAGTTTTACGTGAGCGTGATGTGATGGCCCTGTGAGATAGTCGAGGAGACCATGCATGCTATGAGTCAAAACGAACTAGTCAGGTCAAGCAGAAGAAAGCAAGAGAAAGCCGTTACAGTGGCTTGGGTTGGGCAAGAGAAAGAATGCGGGAAGGGGAATGGGGCGAGATCAGGCGAAAAGGAGGAGAATAAGGGATGCAGGAGGAAGGAACAGAAAACGAGGAAGAAGGAAGGGAGGATAGGGAGGGGGAGTTAGGGAGGGAGGGAGGGAGGGAGGGGAGGGAGGTAGGTAGGTAGGCGAGAAAGAGGAGGAAGCGAGGGAGGGAGGGAGGGAGAGAGGGAGAAGGAAGGGAGGGAGGGAGGAAGGGAGAGAGGAAGGTAGGTAGGGTAGGGAGGGAGGGAGGACGTGTGAAGTCTGTCTCACATCAGCGAGGCGTTGCTCTCTCCTGGATGCACGCGGGCTGTGATGACAAGGCTCGGCTTCTTCACCTAGCTGGGGTCACAGCTGTGCGCTTCCTCTCCCGTGCACCTGCAAGTCGTTGCCTATCATGACGAGGTCCAGCACGTTTCCAGCTATCGTCTTGCAGAGCTCGCTGGCGAGAGATCAGAACAGCAGAGGAGGAGGAGCAAGACCAGCGACGGAGTCGCTGCGAGCGAAGAGAGTCGCTCTGAAGCTCCAGCAGATGCCGCTGCTCGCAACGAAAGAGAAGAAGAGAAAGCAAACGAGTCAAAGCGACGACTGCAGTGATAAAGACGACGAGGAGGAGGAGGAGGAGGAGGAGGAGGAGGAGGAGGAGGAAAGTAGAGGAAGAGGAAAGTAGAGGAAGAGGAAGAGGGAGAGGAAGAAGATGGTTGTCGTGGTTGTAGTGGTGACGGAGGAGGTTGGGAGACCTGAAGGTCGTGGTAGGTGTAGGGGTAGCACATGGCGAGGTAGCACTCGTCGTCATCGTAGGGAAGTTGAAGGCTGAACCTCAACGTGAAGAAATTATTCACCTGCTACAAGCTGAGCTTCCTCCTCTGCTCCCCTCTGCTCCCCTCCTCTCTCCTGCTCTGCTCTTTCTTTTGCTCTCTCTCACCTGCCCATTCTTGTGGAATTGCCGCACATTCGCCTGGTAGGAGATGCTCTCCCCCACTCGGTGCCATCCCTTCCCCGTCCTCCGCTCCTCCTGCAGTCTCGTCAGCGGCGTCGCGTCGCCTCCATCCGACCTCGCGCGAGTAGAGCAGCGGCTGCATCCCGTCCTTGTACCTGCGAGATGGTCAGGCGGGGGAGGGGAGGCAGGAGGCGGTACAGGCTGTCAGGTTTGATGAAGTTTAGCAAGGAGAGGGTGTAGAGCTTGGAGGATAAGCCGTTGAGCACACGGAAGTAGAACCATTGGGTGCAGTTGAAGACTCGTGAGCCCTGTGACAGGCGTCAGGATAGGAGAAAGAGGATGATGATGATGATGATGATGATGATGAGGAGGAGGAGGAGGAGGAGGAGGAAGAAGAAGAAGATGATGATGATGATGATGATGATGAGGAGGAGGAAGCAGGCCTGAGAGGATAGGCAGACGTCGTCGCGCATGTAGAGTCGATACTCCAAGTCTCCCACCCGGTAGGCTGACAGGGAAGTGAAGGAGAGGAGAAGAATACAAGTTCTCACCCTTCCGTAGGTTTCCGCTCTCAAACCTGGACTCGAAGCGCAGGCAAGGTGATTGAGCGCTGCTGGAGCTGACGTTGCTGCGCTTTCTTTACTTCACTTCTCCTCGAGCAAGCACAGCAACGTCACCTGCTGCTGAAGACACTCCTCGCCCTCTGCTCAGCTCTCGGTACGAGAGACTCCTCAACGAACATCTCATCGTCGTAGACAAGCTCCCCGTCACTCACATCCGCCAGCTCGTCCTCCTGCATCTCACCCTCTCCCTCTGTGCTTCGGTCAGCTCCTTTTGCCCTCCTCCTCTCTAGCTACCTGTGCTCGGCGGTCCGTCATCGTCATCATCGTCGTCCCCTGCTGCCCCCCACATGGAGGAGGAGCTGCCTGCAGCCGCGTACTCTGCGGGAGCTCGCCATTCCCCGTGCACGGGAGTTGAGACGATCAGCTTCCGCCACGGTGAAGACTTAGCGGCAACGATTCTCGGACCCGCCCCCTCCTGCTTCCCTGCTTCAAGCAGCGACAGGATCGCAGCCCCTCCTATCGACCCCCTGCCGCTCTCGTTCCTCTTCCCCCCGCCTCCCTTCCCTTTCCCATCTCCTGTCGATCGCTGCCGCACCAGCTTCCCTCCCAGCCTCCTCCCTCCCTTCATCGTCCCGAGCAGGTTGGCCCCTGCGCCATCGCCTCGCACCGCATCGAACTTGTTCTTCCCCTTGTCCTTGGCTTCTCCCACTTGGCTCCTCCCCTGCTGCTTCGAGCGCCATGACGGCTCCGCTGGCTCCTTGTCTCGCGCTCGAGTGAAGGAGCTGAACTTTCGTCCTCCTCCTACCGGTGCCAGCGCGTCTTTCTCAACTTTTCTCACCAGGCTGGATGTGGACATGTTTCAATGGCATCAGCGACCAGCTCGGGCAAGGCTAGCAAGAGAACGTCGGGGGCGCGTCACCAACATCTACACCAAGACAATAAGACGAGCAAAAAACAGCAACCTTGTGCTTCTACTCTCCCCTTTCTAGTAGATGTCTTGCTCTAGCAGATGTAGATGTCTTGCTCTAGTAGATGTCTTGCTCTAGTAGATGTAGTTGTCTTGCTCTAGTAGATGTCTTGCTCTAGTAGATGTCTTGCTCTAGTAGATGTCTTGCTCTAGTAGATGTCTTGCTCTAGTAGATGTCTTGCTCTAGTAGATGTCTTGCTCTAGTAGATGTCTTGCTCTAGTAGATGTCTTGCTCTAGTAGATGTCTTGCTCTAGTAGATGTAGATGTCTTGCTCGAGTAGATGTCTTGCTCTAGTAGATGTCTTGCTCTAGTAGATGTACATGTCTTGCTCTAGTAGATGTAGATGTCTTGCTCTAGTAGATGTCTTGCTCTAGTAGATTTCTTTGCTCGCTCGCTCCCATTTCATACGACCTCGGCGCAACCATGATTCATATTTTTTCGTATTTTTTTAGTTTTACACATACAGCCGTTGGACACTAGAAGCTCTCGACTACCAGCTCCTCCAGCAGCTCCTCCAGCAGCTGGTCAGCCACAAGGTTTGACACCGTCAGCACGTCCAGCTGAAGGCTCATCATGCTGCCCTCCATCTCCATCACTTCATCTTCGATCATTCGCTTCAGGCTTGCCGTCTCCACCTGCTCATCGTCAGCAGCAGCAGCTTGGAAGCAGGTCCGCCTCACCTCATCCATCGACCAGCTGTCTTCGCTCTTCTCGCGTGCGTCAGCCGCAAACTTCTCGAGCTTCTGCAGCACTTCCTCCTTGCCTAGCTCGTGACCTTCACAGCCGCCGTGCGCGAGAGTATCGTTGATGAGGTCCAGCACGAGCTTGTGCATGATCTGCTGAGGGTCAGGCGGGGACAACAACTAGCAACTTGTACGTGATCGTCGTCAGAGGCGTGGGGGAACATCCTTCTCTCCCAGGTCAGGAAGTCTCGCTCCTCGATCTGAGCGAGTTAACCCCAGCACAACCTCAAGCATCCCTCACCTCCCCAGCATACGGACCTCCTAGCTCATCCAGAAGCTGCTCAGCGTAGGCGAAGTGAGCAGCTCCCAGCCCTCGCTCGGGGATTATCCTCTCCTCCTTCTCCGCAGCTCCCGGCGCATGACGAACAGGCTGAAGTTGTCCGAGGGTGGGGGACGGAAGGAAGTCGGCGAGGAAACACTCAAAGATTTCGTCAGCGATGCTCGTCACAACCTCTGCGACTCTCGAGCTGCGTGTTGGGCTCTTGCTGGTGACCTCGCCGGCTTTGCCCTCAGCTCCCGCTGATGTTGCGCTTGCGACGGCATGGCCAACCCGAGCTGTTGACGTGTGCTCTTGACCTCCTTCATCCAAGCCCTCCGACTCTTGCGACGAATGGCGTTGATGCATGTGCTTGGAGTCAACGAGCAGAGGAGACGGAGGGATTGGGTGGTCTCTCCGCGAGTCTTCAGCTTCCTCTGTCACTCGTTCCTTCTCGTCATTCGCCCCTTCTCCTTGTCTCTCTTCTCCTCTTCTCGCCTCCTTGCCTTCCTCATGCAGTGCAGTCCCCCCCTCCTCCCCCTCATCGACGAACGAGTCGCTGTACAGGAGTGAAGGGATCGTCGAGTCTCCTCGCTCCTCCACAAACGACTCGCTGTAGGCGGCACTGGAAGTTGCAACTCCCTCCTGCTCCTCTAGCTCATGACTCGCTCGCATGCCACCAGAGCGAGACTCCAGCTCCTCCTCCAGCACATCCTCAGCTGACCCGCTCGCCGCCCTCACATCCTCCACATCAGAGTGAAACTCGAGCGAGTAGGACCACGCTCCTGCCGGAGCTGGCTGACCCTCCTGCTGACTCTTCTCTTCATGCTCGCTCTTCCTCCACGTGTCGACGATCTCCTCCTGCAGCACGGGAGCAGCCCCATCGCTAGAGTGACCCTGACTCACCATCTGTTCCTCCACTTCCGACGCTGACTGAGACTCGCGCTTTAAGTCTTCCACCTCTTCCACCTCTTCCACCTCTTCCGTCGCCATGCGGGCGAAGGAGCTCGAGATGTTGCGAGAGGGCGCAGCGTCTTCGAAGTCTTGCGTGTAGTCTTCAGTCACCGAGGCTATCCTGCTCTCCCCTCCGGCTTCCCAGTCTCTCTGCGACAAGTCCGTGGCGATGGAGGAGGCTTCTCCTCCCTCCCGCTCGTGCTGGGACCTCAGTGTGTATCCTCCTCGATGGACTCTGAAACTTTGCTTCTCCTGCTCGCGTCCTCCTCCGCCACCTCCGACTCCTCGCTCGACATGTCTTGGTTGATGAATTTGCTCGTTGCAGCGCTGAAGGGATCGTAAGCAGTACGAACAAACAGTCCTCCACCCTCTCCCGCCTCTGTTCCACTCTCCTCGCTCCTGCTACTCTCGGCTGAAGATAATTTGGCTTCCTCCTCTTCCGATGGTCCCACAGAGTCGCTCTGGTCGACGACGGGAGCGACCATGGAGGAGGGCGTGCCTGGCTGGTCGACGGGCTTCGTCCAGGACTCATCCAGCAGGACCTTGACGTCCTTCTTCGCCTCCTCGTCCACGTTGTATCGCAGAGCATGCTCCAGCAGCTCCTCGGTCCTTCGCTCCTCCGCCTCCACCGCCATCTCACGTCGCCGCATGTTGGTCAGCGCTTCCTTCTCCTCCAGTAGCCTCTCCGCGTACTCGCGCTTCTTCCTCGCCTGCTGCTCGCGCTCCTCCAGGCTCCGCGTCTCTGCCATTGAGTCGATGCGATGAAGTTCAGACGCAAGAAAGCGCACAGACTCGGCATGGAGGCCCCGGCTGAAAGCAGCTGGGGCGTCGGCGAGGCCCGGGGGATGGTGAAAGTGAGGGATGCGATCGGAGGAGACGCTTTCCATGCCGTCAGAGCTGAAGGACGTTTCTGACAGCATCGCGTCAACGCTCTCCTCCTGCACCCTCCTCCTGTCAGCCACGCGCTCATCCTTTGCATCTCTTGGCTCCTCCTCCTCCTCCTCCTCGTCTCGTCCCCTCCTCATCGTCAGCGTGTCTCTGCGCGCAACGAGGAATGATTCGAGTTGCATCCTGAGCTCCATTCTTCTCTTCCACAAGTCAGCTCTGCTGCTAGCTCTCAGCCTGCTGAGCTCTGCCTTCTCAGCCGCGAGTCTCATACGCAGCTTCTTCTCCTCTTGCTCGAGCCTCAACATCTTTGACCGGCTGCCCTGCGAGGAGGCCGAGCGGTACAAGGCTCTCACGCGCTCGAGCTGAGCCGCCGCGTACTCCTCTAGCGTCTCCTCTTGAAGTTTGAGAAGCGACAGCTGCCGCTCCACCCTCCCCTCCTCCTCAGCTAGCGACTTGTGGAAGGCGCCGACTGCTTGCCGCGTCAGAGAGTCCTCTCGAAGGATCGCAGGGACGTCTGCATCCTCTAGGGTCCACTTGCCCTCCCCCGTCGCGCTTCTCGTCAGGGAGACGTCAGGCGGGTGGGAGGGAGAAGGAAGCGATTGAGGATGAGGAGCGACCCCTATCGCCCCGACCTTACTGGACAAGCGGGAAGCATCGCGGGAGCGGAAGGAAGTCTCAGCCTCGAAGTCCTCCGAGTACTTCTCGGACAAGGAGACGACATTCAAGTTCTCCTCCCTCCTCACCTCATCCTCCACCGAGTCTTCAGCTACTGAACTCACTCCCCGGCTCCTCGACATGCTCTTCTCCTCCATCACCTGCGGTGGCGTTAGTTGTCTTCTCGCCCTCTCCTTACCCTCTTCACCTCCTCCGCCTCTATCGACGCATGATGTCCCTCTACCGACGTGCGAAGCTCAACCGACGCGTTGATGCTCGAGAAGCTCCTCACTTTGCTCTCCTCCTGCTCGCCTTGTCACCTTCCACTCCTCCTCCTCCTCCTCCCCTTCTCACCTGCGACCGTCTCCCCGACTTCTCGAGCTCATCGATAGACGAGGAAGCGAGGTGGACAAGGTCATCCTCCTCATCCCCCACGATGCTGGGGGGTCGCGAGACGTTGATCTCGTCAGGCAGGTGCAGCTCCTCTGCATCCTCGCCGATCTCGTCAGGGGATCGACTCATCGATCGGTTCTCCTGCTCGACGTCCTCGAAGTCAGCCGTGTAGTCGCTGTCGTTGGAGCTCTCCGGGTCTTGAGCCAGCAGGTTCATGTGTCGCCTCCTCTCCTCCTCCGCACTTCTCTCGAGCTTCTGCTTCTCTTGCCCGACCAGCTGCGTCGTCAGCGACTGCCGGAAGATGCTCGTGATCTCCTGCAGCTGCTTCGCGTGCTCCTCTCTCAGCTCCGCCACCAGCTGCTCCCTCCCGTCATTGCGCTGCTGGGCCGTCAGCTCCCGGAGGACGAGGGAAAAGTGGTCAGTGGTCTCGTGCAAAGACTGCGACAGCTGCTGTACGAACTCCTTGTTCATGCTCGCCAGCAGCCTGCCCGTCTCTTCCTCCCGTCGCTTTTCCTCCGCCAGCTTCTCGTCGCGCATGATGAGAGTCTGTGCAAGCACGACCGACTCCTGCTGGGCTGTCGAGACTTGTTGGATCCTCACCAGACTCTCCAGCTGCTGCTCGTATTCGTTGATGTCTTCAAGCAGCTGAACTTCGGTCATCAGCCTGTTCTGCAGCTCTGACGGCGACAGTCGCTGCCTTGTTGGCTCACGATGAACCCCAAGCAGGTCTCCTTCTGTTGCCAACGGAAAGCTGGGGTCTCCTCTAGCAGGTTTCTTCACTTCTTCGATCACCTCGCTTTCTTCTCTCTTCACTTCTTCGATCACCTCGCTTTCTTCTCTCTTCACTTCTTCGCTTCTCTTGTCCTCAACCATCTGCTCATTGGTCGTCTTGGGTGAGTTTGCCGTCTCACTCTCCTCTCCCTTCTCCTCCCCTAGTCTTGCGCGTCTCTCGGGCTCGTCAAGGATGTTCCGAGCCTGCACCAGCAGCTGCTCTACTTCTTCTGCCGGCAGGAACCCTCGCACGATTCGCTCGGCGCTTATGGGAGCCTCCCAGCCCAGGTCGAGAAGCTCTTCCCGCTGGAGCCCAGTTGCGAGTCCCTGCTGGAGTCCAGCTGGTCTTTGCGATAAGGACGGGGGGACGAGAGACTCAGCTGGTCTATCAGGCTTAAGAACCTTCGCGAGGCTCAGCGGGTCGTCAGGCTCGTCCAAGTCTGGTCGACCCTCCCATGGCTGATGTGACTGGTCGGCGAAGGAAGAGGAAGAGGACCAGTTGTCGAGGAGCCGCGAGGGGGGGAGGTGAGAACCGTAGCCTACCTGCCTCTCGTGCTCGTGCTCGTGCTCGTGCTCGTGCTCGTGCTCGTGCTCGTGCTCGTGCTCGTGCTCGTGCTCGTCGACAAAGTAGGTCTGGATTGCTTGTTCTGCAACTTGGATGATCTCGCTGGTCTGCACTTCTTCCTCCTTCATCTTCGCTGCCTTCAGCTCGCCTCCGCTTCCTCCTTGTTCCTTCGCCACTTGATCATAAGCCCCTCCCTCCTCTCCGTCCTCTGATCCTTCACTTCTCCAGGTGCCATCCAGCTCGTGCGCTCTGCTGCTTCTCAGTCGGAGGACACCAACTTCGACGTCTCCCTGACCGCAGGCTGCGTTCATGTCATACTGCTCCTTCCCCCAGCTCGCCTCAGATGCTACTTCCTCTTCCGGTACCACCTGCCTCTCCCCTCCACGCTCCTCCTCTTGTTCAGCAGCAGCAAATAGTTTTTCCACCCGGAGCGCGAGGCTTTCAGCCATCCTCGTCAACTCATCGATCTTCTCTCGCTTGCTCTCTGATTTGTGTCGCTTCTCCCGCCTCCTCCCTGCTGTCCGCCTGCTGCACATCAAGTTCAGCACCTGCAGAGTAGTCAGCACGTGCAGCCTCAAAACTCGAAGACCTCAAGCTCGACGTCATCGGGAGAGACCCAAGCTCGACGAGGTCGAGGAGGAGGAGAGGGAGGGGAGGGAGGGGAGGGAGGGGAGGGAGGAGGTTTAAAGGGGGGAGTGGGCGACTCCTTGACCTCCTCATTTTTCTTCTCTACTTGCACTGGCTGATCGTTGGATGCCCCGGTCGAGTCTTTCAAAACCTCTTGAGGTTCCGGTTGTGACGGGAGACGTCTGGGTTTCTTCTCAAGCTCTTGTGCTCGTCTTCGACGTTCCCTGTCATACATCATCCTCTTCTGCCTTGCATCTCGAGCTTCTCCTCCTCTCCTCCCCTGGTGTTGGTTTGCAGCAGGCTGCTCACAGGCCTCCTTCTCATGCATATCTCCCGAGGTTTCCTTCTCATCTCCATCTTTCGTCTCCTTGCTCTTCGCAACATGTCGCTGTAGGAATCTCTTCGCCGTCTCTCGCGTCAACTTCTTGTAGCGATCCACTGCCGCCTGAACAGCTTTTCTCGCAGACATCTTCTTTTGTTTCGTGGTCTTTTCTCGCTCCTTCGTCTTCTTTCTCTGTTGCATCATCCAAGCCTTCACGCTCGTCACGTCGTACCATCTGGGACGCTGAGCCTGGGAGGGCAGGGCGTCATCGGACTCGTCTTTGTTCATCGCAAGCAGAGCCCCAACGGGCACTGATGCTTGACGGTCGCTTGTCCGCTCGTCTCTCTCCTCGGCATGCACATCCCCCACCTCTCGTTGTCCCTTCACCTGCGCCTTGCTAGCTTCCTTCACAGCTTTCGCTTCCTCGCCTTTCCCTGGCGGTCTCGGTCTCCTCCGGTTTCCAGGTCGAGCAGCCGCGACTCTCGGACGGGAGCTGCTGCGGCCTTGCTTCTTCTCCACGTCTCCTTGAAGAAGCGCTCTGCTCGAGACTGTCTTCTCCTCGCTGCTCTCCTGCTGCGAAGGTCGCAGATCGTGAAGGTCTTCTGCTCCCGCCTCAGCACGAGGAGCGGGAGCTCTGCCTTGACCAGATCTTCGCGTCTTCTCCACGAGGTTGAGCTTTCGTCGCGATTCGGGAGACAGGTCGCGGAATCTGATTCCTGACTTGCATGTGAGTTTAACCTTGTCGGGGGCCGCTGGGTTGAGCTGAGCCACTGCCGCTTGCTGCTCCTTGGTCTCGTTCCTCGTAGCCGGTTTTCGCGTCCGGATACATTCATCGAGCAGCATCAGCTGCTGCTTCCTGTGCAGCTCGTTTGCCATCTCCTCCTTCTTTAGCGCTTTCAACCGACGAATCTGATGATAAAGCCCATCACTCAACGCATCAGCAAGTCAAGGGTAGAAGCAGCTCCCCCATTGCCGCACCTCCTCGAGGGCAAGCTTTGGCGCATGTCCTTTCCTACGCTGTTTCACGCCGAGCAGCTCAATCCCGTCGGGCATGACAACACGATCAAGCTCCTGCGGCGTATTCTTCGCCATGATCTGCCCGCACTCTCACGAGGTGCCAGCAAGTTCCATTCAACGAACCTGCAAGAGACGCGGGTCGACGTACATGGGAGAGTTGGGGTCTAAGCTTTGGAACCTGTTTGGGCATATTACAAGAGTCAAGCCACTGACAGGTTAATCCTTCACCTCTGCATGCTCGGCATTGTTTATCGCACTGCAATGAACCGACGGACGATCACATTCGCTTCATGTAAAATGTCAGTACATCCACTCAAATCCTACTATATTTTGGCGCTGATCTTGTTTCTCCTTGCTGACAATCCTTTGACTGATGTTTTCTTCCTATAGCCTTTCTTCTTCTCGCTGTCTTTACGCTTCTTCCTTCCCTCCCTTGTCCTCCCTTCCCATCCGACGATCTCCCGCCATGTTTGCACTGGGAGTCTGAGGCGGGTTAGCTCAAATTTTAAAAATGAAACCTCCGGGGCCGGGGCCCTCAAGTTGCCCGGCGGCTACTGAAACTTCTCAAATGCCGCGGTGGTGGGGGTAGGGAAAGGGCATCGAGGGGGTGGGGTCTCTTATTCTGGATTTTACTACGTACTATGACCCCTACCCCCTAGAAGGTATGGAATCCGTTAGTAAAAAGGGGTAGCCGTGGAGGGTCGTATCCATACAAGGATCCAATTTGAGCAACAGTGGTTGAGGGGCAAGTGGGGGTAGGGGTAATCACCCCACCCCTAAATTAAAAGGGATTCCGGTTCCAGGTGAGACGTAGAGTGTACACAAGAGCTGGATGATGGAGGTGGGTGGTGGAGAGTCTGGAGAAGTAGGGGGTCAAAGTAGAGGTTTCACAGAGAAACAAAGGGGGTGGTTTGGGAAGGGGGTGGTTTCGGAACATGGAGGGGTACCACTCCAGGTAGATGGATATGTATCAAATTGAAGGGTGGGGTAATTTTAACTACCCCCTTTCCCATACAAATCCTATGGTGAATAGGGGGTGGGGTGATCACGGGCAACTTTGCCCCCATCTTCTCACATAGCTGTACCCCACCCCCTCGAAGGACTATAGGAATAACCCCTACCTACAGAGGTGGCTCTTGCTCGCTTCTACAGGACATGGGGTGGTAATGTGAGGAAGAAATTGGAGGGGTGGGGTTGTGAAGATGAGGGGGTGGGGGTCATATTTGAGGGGAGGTAGTGATGATTTGTAGTGTGGGAGTACCTACCCCTGGATGATGATTTTTCTGATAAGTACCCCACCCTATAAGTCTTTTTTTTGAAATTCGCTTCATCCCCCTTCTCCAAGGGGTTTCCGGGATGGTGTACGGGGGGTTGTGGGGACCAAGAAGGGTAGGGGTGGTGAGGGCCGTGGACGTGGGGTGGGGTAAAAAGAGGGGGTATAGAGACTGGTGGGGTGGTGTAGGATTAGCGACAGAAGATGGCGCGGACGTGGCTGGTAATGATGGCGGCAGTGGCGGTGGAGGGCTTCGGCTTCCAGCTCGGAGGGCCAGTGACCAGGCCCTCCCTGCTCTCCTCTAGGCCCTCCTGCCCTCAGGGGGTCTCATCCCTCCGCTGTGCGATCCCAAGGGCTGCTCTCCCTCAGGCTGGCACCAGGTCTCTCGCTCTGGCTCCAAAGACTGCCGTGCAGGCCTCCTCCTCTTCCTCCTCTTCGGCTTCCAAGGGGTTCAGCATTGACTTCCAGCTCATCGCCTACTTCGCGCTCTGGTATCTCGGCAACTACTACTGTAAGGTGATGCTGCTGCTGTCGCTTGACCTGACGTGAAGGGCAGACAACATCACCAACAAGCTCGCTCTCAAGGCGGCAGGGGGGGCTGCAGGTTTCCCTCTCACTATCGCCACCCTCCAGCTTGGTGTTGGTTGCCTCTATGCTCTCTTCCTGTGGGCGGCTCCCGATGCTCGCAAGCTCCCTAGCACGACCAAGGACGACCTTGTGAAGATTGTTCCGGTAGGCTCGCAGCCGGACCCATCGGTTGAACGTGACGCCCCCTACTCCTCTAGGTTGCTTTCTGCTCGGCGGCTGCTCATTCTTTCTCGGTTTTCGCTCTGAGTGCCGGAGCTGTGTCCTTTGGACAGATCGTGAAGGCGGCTGAGCCGGCCTTCGCTGCTCTTCTTGGTGTTACTTTGTACCAGAAGAAGGTGGGTGAAGCTATTGGCAGTGAACGCTCAGAGCAAGCGCGTGATGGTTTTCGTCAGGTCTCCAAGGGCAAGTGGCTCTGCCTCATCCCCGTCATCGGCGGTGTCGTTCTCGCATCCGTCAAGGAGTTGGACTTCGCCTGGTCCGCCCTCATCACCGCCTGCTTGGCCAACCTCTTCGCCGCCTTCAAGGTGATCAGCCGCCATGTGCTTGAGCGAGTGGAGTGAAGGTCTCGCAGGGACAAGAGAACCAGAAGTTGATGACTACCCCGGGAATCAAGGACAGGCTCGGCAACGTCGGCAATCAGTTCGCCATCACCATGATCCTCTCGTTCCTCATCTCCCTCCCTGTCATGATCCTCAAGGAGGGCAGCAAGTGGGGTGAGTTCTGCACTATCTGGGCCACCAACCCAGTCGTCTCCTTCAACCTCATCGCCTCCGGCCTGTGGTTCTACGGATACAATGAGCTCGCCACCATGACCATCAAGAAGACCAACGCTGTCACTCAGTCCGTTGCCAACACCGCCAAGCGTGTCATCGTCATCATCGGTGTTGCTATCGTGCTCCAGGAGAGCTTGGATCCCATCAAGCTCCTTGTAATTCTCTTCCTCTTCCTCTCCTCTCCCGTGACTTGAATCGCAGGGCTGCGCCATTGGCATCGGAGGTGTCTTCCTCTACTCCGTCATCGACATGATCTTCCCCCCCAAGGACAGCAAGCAGGTTTCTGCTGGCAAGTAAGCTGGGGTTTTCGTTGGTAAGAGAGCAGGGAAACAGTTTTCACTTCATTAAACTCGCTGGCGGAATTTTTGGGGCCCCACAACAGGAAAAAAGAGGCGAGGAGAGGAAAGAAAAGCGCAGGATCGCAGCGTAACAAAGAGTGAGGAGGGGAGGAGCGGGTCTCTCTGACTGAAGCTTCGGACGCTTATGTCTTTGACCTCACATTGGGTAGACTGGAAACCTCTGGCAGAGAAGCTTCACGTGCTCCCTCACCTCCTCCTCCACGTCCTGCCCACATCTCAGTTCCGAATGCTACTCCACCTCTCCTGCTCTCAAACATTTCGAGCTCCTACGTCTCCTCTCATCCTTCCTCCCACCTTGCCCTCGTCCTCCCTCACCTTATTCCCCTCTGGTCCGTTGGCCGCTAGTCCATCAAGAACCCGCACGATCAGCTGCCCGACCTGCACGAGCCTCTCATCCACCGTCGCCTCCCTCAACCTACCTCGTACCAGCGACATCTCTTGGGAGCCCATCCCCCTTGACGTCAGGGTCGGTGTCCCCAGGCGGATGCCGGAGGTGACCTGCGGGGAGTGAGCGGAGGAGGAAGGCCAACGTCATGTACGAAAGGTTTCTCGGGGTCGAAAGGAATCGCGTTCTTGTTGCAGGTGATGCCTGCTCGCTCTAGGCTCGCCTCAGCCACCTGACCAAGGCAGTCACAGCGAGCAACGAGAGGGGAGGAGGAGGAGGTGGGAGTGTTGGTGCGCGAGGTGGTGGTGCCGGGGGTGGTGGTTGAGATTGAGGAGGTTGAGAAGAGTAGAAGATGTCATGGTTGATGCTGCTGCTTCTGCTGTTGCTGTTGACGATGAGGTGGTAATGATAATGATGCTGAGAAGGAGATGGAGAAGAAGGATGAACAGCAAGAGTACAAGACCTTTCCAGTGAGACCTTTAGGCCTCAAGTCAACGAGGATGAGGTGTGAATCAGTTCCTCCGGAGACCATCTTCAGCCCTCCCTCCTCGAGCTCTTTCGCTAGAGTCTTGGCGTTCCTCACGACGGCATGCGCATACTGGCGGAAAGAAGGCTTGAGCGCCTCACGGAAGGAGACGGCCTGGGAGGTAGAAGCTCAGGTCAAGCAAGCAAGACGGCAGCGGGTCAACCTTGGCAGCGATGACGTGCATGAGAGGCCCCCCCTGTAGCCCCGGGAAGACAGCAGAGTTGATCTTCTTGCCGAGCTCCTCGTCGTTGGAGAGGATGAGGCCTCCTCGCGGCCCTCGCAGCACCTTGTGGGTCGTGCTGGTGACTACATGGGCGTGAGGGAAGGGGGAGGGGTACGAGCCGCCTGCAACCAGCCCAGCGAAGTGAGCCATGTCGACGAGGAGGACAGCACCGACAGCGTCAGCGATCTCTCTGAACCTCTTGAAGTCGATGATGCGCGCGTATGCCGAACCTCCTGCGATGATCAGCTTCGGCTTGTGCGTCTTTGCCAGCTGCTCGACCTCCTGGTAGTCGATCAGGTTTGTGTCCTCCCTTACCCCGTACTGCACGGCTTTGAACCACTTTCCCGACAGGTTCGGACCAGCTCCATGCGTCAAGTGCCCGCCCGCTGCTAGCGACATCCCCAGCACGACATCACCTGGCTCGAGCAGCGCGAGCATCACCGCCTGGTTCGCTTGCGCACCCGAGTGCGGCTGAACGTTGGCCCAGCAGCACTGGAACAGCTCCTTGGCTCGCTGCTGCGCCAGCGTCTCGACGCCGTCGACATGCTCGCAGCCCCCGTAGTAGCGCTTGCCCGGGTAGCCCTCCGCGTACTTGTTGGTCAGCACAGAGCCCTGGGCCTCCAGCACCGCCTGCGACACGACGTTCTCCGACGCAATCATCTGCAGCTTGTCGCTCTGCCTCTCCCGCTCCTTCTGCACGCATGCGAACACGTCAGGGTCTGCCTCTGCTAGTCCTGCATGGAAGAACCCGACGGGCGGATACTCCTCATCCTTCAGCCCGTCATCCCCCAGTAGCTCTCCGGCTGCCTGGAGGTCGCTACCTTGCACGATGAGGGGATCGTCTCGCTGCGTCGTGCGGTAGAAGAAGCCGGTCTCTCCCTCCTCCAGCCGAATGTCTCGCCATGGCCGGTGCCCTCCTCTCAGTCGCCCTGCCTGCTGCTGCCCTTTGAGCGCTTTCAGTCCTGCAAGCGAGAAACCACCCATGGCGAAGGCAAGGGCTGAGCCGAGACATTCGAGGAGGAGGAGGAGTGATAAGCAAGACACAGCAGACAAACAGACTGAGCGTTCTCGTCTCCTCTTCAGCTCTTCTCTTCTTCTCCCCTCCCTCTCTTCGCTCTTCCTCCTCTCCTTTCCTCTTTCTACCGCCATCGTCGGCCTCCCTTGGGCGTTTGCTTCGTCCACCCTACCCCCTGGGGAAACTGCCTTTCAACCACCCCCAGGTTCAACCTCAAATGGTATTATACCCCACATTTTCCCATTTTCTTTCCCTACATGTACCGGGTACAAACATGACCCGACCCGTCTTTCTACTCCTTCCTCCTTATGACCCTCTTGCCGTCCGCCTCAGCCCTCGCACTTTGTGGGAAGCGCAGGAGGAGGAGGAGGAGGAGGAGGAGGAGGAGGAGGAGGAGGATGATGATGATGATGATGATGATGATGATGATGATGATGATGATGATGATGATGATGATGATGATGAGGAGGAGGAGGAGGAGGAGGAGGAGGAGGAGGAGGAGGAGGAGGAGGAGGAGGATGCAGGGGTAGTAGTAGCATTCAGGGTTGAGAGGGAATGAAGGACGAGGAAGCAGGGTGGAAGAGGACTTCAGTTGTTGTGCTTTATTCTCTTGCCCTCTCGCACATTCACCCACGAGTAGAGCACAAGGCTCAACATGGCTGCGCTCCCTCCCATCATCTGCCGCGCCGAGATCCTCTCATGCAGCAACACCGCGCTCAACACGGTCAGCCCTGCTGTCTTGGCCTGTCATGGTACGTGAGCCCTGCTCCCTCGCCTCTCCTCCCCTCCCTTCACGTCTCTTCTCATCTCTCTCCTCCCTGTGCCTGTCTCACCCAACTTCTCTTCTCCCTCTCGTCCCCTCCCTCTCTTATCTGTCCTCCCCTCGCCCCTCCAGCATCTCTTCCTCCCTCCTCAACTCATTATCGACCATCACCTGCCCCATGAGCGCGTGGCTCAATGCCGATGTTGTTCCCACAGCGATTCCTTGCGACCACGTGACCTGCCCCGCCAGTGATTTCCTTCCTTTCTCCTCTCGCACCCTACCAGAAAGGCGGCCATGCCCGTCGACAGGAATAAAATCATCCCGCCACTCCCTAAACCTCCTTCCTCCACCTGCGACACGCTCGTGCTCCAGAGCTCACGTCCTCCTCCTCTCACCGGCTTCACGAACACGGAGAGCGAACGATACTCGCCGAGCACAGCGACCAGGATCAGCTGCAGAGCCGCGCTCCTGCTCGGAAGTTGAGGGGAGGAGGGAAGGAGAAGGAGAGGAGGAAGAGAGCAAGATGAGGGTGAGGAATAGGTAGGTGTGAGGACAGCAGGAGATCGAGGAGGAGGGAGGAGGAGGAGCGAACCATGGCATGACTTCCAGCAGGAGCTGAGCAGGGGTCCATCCCTGCCTTACCAAGGAGGCAGTTTTCATCTATCCCCACTCATCATCTCGCGTTGGCCCGTTGGTCAACCATCACCTTCAACGTCGACGACAGCATCACAGCAGCCATCGCCCACAGCACCTTCACGTCCTCGTCAGCCTCCTCTCCTCTTCTCACAGGTCGTTACCCCCCAGGAGATCGTCAGCCCGTCCTCGATCTCCGCGAACCCGACTCCAGTAACTATCCCGGAGAGGAAAACGAACCGAAGGATCGACATGCTCCTAACGCCCAGCACGACTTCAGCTGCCGCTACCACCTGCCGCTTGTCACTTGATGGCGCTCAAGTCAAGCCAACTGCACAGGAGTCTGCAGGAGCTTGAAGAGCTGATAGGTCGCGGTGCTGTTGTGGTAAAGACTCTTGTTGGACGCGATTGGCGCGAGCGCGACAACAAGGACAACTATGAGCATGTCTGCGAGGTTTCCCTGCTAGCTGGTCAGGGGCGATGGAAGGATAACTGCAGCACCTTGGTGAAACGCTTTCTTTCCAGCATCCCGGCTCGCATGCACAACCTTAAGAAGAGTAAGTGTTAACCAGGACAAGCATCAGGTAAGGACCAGAACAAGAAGGAAGAAAAAATATTATGGTAGCAGCAAAGAGTTGTCTGCAGCTGCTTCATCCCTTTGTACTGGTTGAACAACGCCTTGTTGAGCGAGATGATCGCAAGTCCCGCGCTGAAGTTGAAGGCCAGGCTCATCAACTGCCATTCACGTTCACCAGCGCTTAACCCCCTACTCCCTCTCCCATTCCAACCTCAAGGATGCGCAGCGAGTGGTCAGAGACTGACCCTGGGATCGATCCCGGTGCGCAAAGAGCTCTCAAGTAGTCCCAAGACTCGAACTGCGCGGGATCCTCCTCCCTGTCATAATGAGAAGAATGAGACGAGAAGAATTAGCGCCATGATTGATCCTGGAGTCGCTACTCGCATCCAACTGCTACTGTCTCTCGTCTACACCACTCTTCCTCACCCTCAATCTCTCTATTTCGCCTCATGGTCAGTCAGGGTTGTCTTGTGAACCCCTTTTGCTCCATCCGTCGATAGCTCCAAGTTCGATATCGATTTCGTTCATGACAGAAACATACTACAGCTCTTCCTTCAAGTAGATACAAGTCGGAAACGACATCAAGCAATCATCTCAGCATATCATTATCTCAGGTTGAAATGAATCTTCTCTCCTCACTTGTCGCCCTACTTGTCTTATGAATGACTTTCCACTCCCTTGAATTTTTTCTTCTCTCCAGATTTTCCTCCGCTCCCTTTCTTGCTCTCAGCTTTCTTCTCATATCCTGTTGTATGGTCGCCAACTCCAAGTGTCTCTTTTTTGTCTCTGAGTTCTATGGTATCTCATTTGCCTTTCCCTTCTCCCAGAAATGTATACTTCTCCCTACATATCCCCTTCCTTTTCTACGTTCTCCCTTGCTATTCCTCTCGCTTCTCTGACTCGTGTTCGACGATTCCTTCTGCTCCTCTCTTAATTTCCCTCATAAAAACTTTTTGTGTTGTTTGGTTTTTGTTTCCTTCTGCTCCTCTCCTGTTTCTTTTCTTCGCCTTGAAAATTATTTCTTCGGTCTGCTGTCCTCTTCATCATCATGTTGTCATCATGTAATCATCATTTCATCATCTCTTCTTCTCTTTCTCCTCTCTTCTTGTTATTCTTCTTCTCTTCTTCTCTTCTTCTCTTCTCCTTCCTCACCTCTTCTTGCCGCTTGTTCGCCGCGATGGGCTTCGACCGCGTGTGCCCGCCATGGTATCCGATGATAACCAGGGGTAATAAGGCCAGGGGTAAGGGGTGATCTACTGGAAAAGGAGGGGTAGTGTGCCGTCAGGGTGGGACCGTGGAATTTGATGGTAAGGGTCATCGAATCATACTCATATTGGTGGGTACTTATGGTAAAAGTAGGGGGTCATATTGACAATGAGGGGTAGGGTGTGTATTGGACTACGACCAACTTGAGTTCAGTTGTGTTCCTGTAACGCTTTTGTAACGCCTGGGAGGCTTCGAGGCTAGCGGCCCGTCGAACTCAAAACTGAGTCTCCCGGCCCGGCCCGGGCCCGGCCGTACCGACTACTCGAAGTGACTCAGTGAAGTGCTTCTACTAGGGTACGACCGTAGTCTGATGAGGCGAGAGAGAGCGCGGGGCCGCACGGTGAATTGTAGTAGTGAGAAGAGAAAGAAAGGAGAGATTTACTCGAAGAGATGGCGATTGATGGCGATGAAATGGCGAATGAAAGCGAAACCTGAGGAGGAGAGTCGACAAGACAGCGAAAGAGGAGGAGGGGAAGGGAAGGAAGCGTCGGAGCAGTCAGTATCACCAAAAGCTCAATCATACGCCCCTCTCCATCGCCCTCTCCCTGAAGAACTACCGGCTTCTCCTGCACCACCACCTTGCCCCCCTCACCCCCCCTCCTCCTCCTCCTCCCCCTCCTCCTCCTCCAACTCACTGTCCAGGAGCATGATGTGCGCTGCTCGCTTGATCGTCCCGTCCAGTCCCTTCCCCTGCCAGCAAGTCAGCATCTCCGGGGCCTCAGACTTGTCGCCTCCTCTGACCTGCACGTTGAAGTGCACTTCGAAGCGCATCACGTTGGATCCAGACTCCTGCTCCTCTCTCACCCATACCCTCGCCTCCTCCCTCCCTCGCTCACCTGAAGCGGTCGGAGGATGTTGTTGATCATACTCAGATGGACCGAGCCATGTCTGAGTTAAGGCGATCACGTTCGGAACCAAAATGGAGGAAGAGGAGGAAGAGGGCAAAGGAGCTTACTTGGTATCCTTGAGGGAGCGAGCATGGACCTCGACTCTTGCCGAGTAGAATGGTGCGTATCCGTCCTGGGGCGACGCGACGAAGAGCACATTCTTGAAAAACTTGATGCCGGTCAGAGGAGGGAGGGAGGGGAGGAGGCGATGAACCTGCAGCGTTGGGGCTTCGGACAAGCGATACATGAAGGTCGTAAGAGGATTCTGAGAGAAGTCAGAGAGTGACGCTGACACTGACGACGAGAGGAGAGGAGAGGAGAGGAGAGGAGAGGAGAGGAGAGGAGAGGAGAGGA